GAAGAGGCACAACTCAAAAATCAAATTCGAAAATATAACTGCTTGTGGATAGTACAGATTCAACGCAATTAATATAAGAACAGGTATAACAGAAGTTTTCTAGTTAGAGAATATTATCATGGAAAAATAAAAATATTTGCATTACGCAAAGATAAATCATACATCATTTAGGCATAAAAATCTACCTATTTTTTTTTTAAGTTGTGCCTCTTTTGAAGATGGCGTGCGATATGTAGTGCATATATGTACATATACATATGTATGTTATGCAGATATGTAAGTACATATGCATGTAGAACAATTAGGTTGAAATAGAGGGTTCATGTAATATGTACAATCATACATACAGACATATATATGTACATAAGTATGAAGCTACAATTATGATTGCATTTTACTTACACTTGTATATTAACATTGCGATTGGAGCGGTTTTTTTTTGTGAATATGTATAATTAAAATATTATTGGCATGAAACATCTTTACTAACCACATTGGTCTAACTGTCCGGTTTTCTAGCCAAAACTAACTTTTTAACCGACTCCTAAAAAGGAGGAGGTTATCAGTTCGTCGGAATATTTTTTTTTTTATGTATGTTACCGCATAACTTTGGACCACCGGTTTGGAAACGATTTCGATAATTCTTTTTGCATCGGAAAGGTAGCGTCTCAGAGGTGGTCCCATACTAATCTGGTTCAGATCCGATCAGTGGATCATGGGATGATCATCGAAAGTGAATGACCCAAAGTGAAATCATCCAGAGTGAATCATTTTGTTTACATTTTTCAAGATAGACCATTCTAAAGCAGATTCTTTTTTAACGAGTTTATTGAGCCCCTTTTATACCTATAACTATAACTTATGGAAATATCCAGCATGAGAAATCACGTTTAAATGTTGAATGGCAAATGTGTTGGCATTTCTATTAACTACTATGTATGTACATACATATATAGTTTATGAATAAAAAATGAACGGTTGCATTTACGAACTAATCCAATCTCGTATGCTTTAGATATCACTTGAAAAAGGCAACGAAGAAAATTCAATTCACACAAACAGATAATACAACATCACATAAAATAACTAATTTGTCATGAATATCCTTTTTTATTAGCAGGGCTGATTTTATAATAGATATTAATTCAATCAAGTTATGTATATGCTAACTAAAACACATATTTAACAAATTTTATATTAAACGGCGAATAGTGACTGTGTTGGTTATGATGAAATGGCGTGTTTACAAGTACTTGCACATACATAGGTACGTACAGTGGGCGAAATTATTATAGACGCACCACAAATTGACAAGTTTGCACAATACTTTTTTGTTAGTTGCTTCTTCGTTCTTTAACAAAAATCGTATAAAACAAAGTTTCACACTTTGTGCAATATAATAAAAAAAAAATTCAACAAACTTTCGTAGAAATGGTGAGCTTTTTATTTATATTTCTTATAAAGATGAAATTTGTATGAATAAAAATGCGAAACACCACCCTCAACCAAAAAAATTCTCAAATCAATCAATGCGAATGGATTTGAGCAACGTAAAACCTGCATTTTTTTATATTAAAATTGATTGGCCGATTTGTGGGCCAAAGATTTTATAAAAATTCGGTTTAAATAGGTTAAACTTTTATTGAAATTTTTTTTTTAAATTGTCGAATTTTTGTACAAAATTTTTAATTAATAAACTCAAAACTTTTGCGAAAGCATGTAGATTTTTGTTTTTTAAATTGCGCAAAGTTTGAAATTTGGATTTGACCGGTTTTTGCTAATATTGAACCACTAAATTTTGATAAAAAAGTAACTAAAATAAATAACAAAAAAAAAGTAAATGTTGATAACAATTTCGCCCATTGTGCATTAGGATGGTAAAAAAAGTTAAAATGGCGATCTCTCACCCCTAGGAATTTTCTAAGTGAAATAAAAAATTGCCCGTATTTTTTTTGTGAAAAAAGAAGATACTTAAAACTGCCTCTAAGCGCATGACGCTTCCCATGCATTTAATATGGGGGAAAAAATCCAATTGTTTATTTTACAATTTTTTAATAATAACAATTTTTAATGGGCCTCCCATTGCATTTGTTTTGGGTTTTTGGGTGACCTATAATAAATAGTCAATATATAAAAAAATGGTTAAATAAACAACTGAATATTGTTATTGGAAGACTCTTAAAGAGACAGAGTTTTCCGATCGAAAAATATTGATTTTCAAGAATTCTCTAATAGCTACGAAAAAGTGTTTTTTTGCCCATATAAAATACATGGAAAACTTTATGGACTTTGAGGCACCATAATACGTGAGTATATACTTAATATGTATGCATGTACATATGTAGATATGTATTGAAATACTTGCCCTTCTTTATTTATGTTCTTTACGTCAAAGTAAAAGCATGTCTTAGTTACCGTTAAATAAATTAAAAATGTAAATTCAACGATATCGACCACCAACACTCGTAAAACCAGTATAACCTGACAGATCAGCTATTGCGATCAACGTGGAATTACAAAAATAATAGCAAAAACCAAAAAAAAAAAAAATGGAAACAAACAATTCCCATTGCAGCGCACCACTGACAGTATGGCACCACATTTCCTTAGACAAACACACGGGCAGGGAGTCGTAGCGGTTCATTTCACTATCGCTATCGCTGACGTTGATAGTTCGAATTTGCATTTTGGATTTACGATAAGTTTGGAATTTTCGAAAGTGCGGGTGTTCTTAGTCTCCCACGTTCTGCATTAAAACGCTTAAACGTCGCTTCCGAATAGTTTAAAAGTTTTGTGAAAAAAAGCTAACTGCAACCAAACGCATGCGAAAAACATTGGTTTAAAAGTGAAATAAAAAATAATAACAACAACAATCGACAACTAGCGGCGCAACAACAGATAGTGGCAAAGAGAGTACTCGCCTGTATATACACATACATACATATGTGCATTAGCGTGCATCACCAAAAAAGTTGCTGTTTTTCCACCGGAATTATAAATTTATTATTATATTTTAAGACCTCCGCCTACATATTTCGGAAAAATATTAAGATTTAATTGAGCTAGACCGATTTGAAAATTTGAATATTTTCTTGTCTTGCCTTGTTTTACGCGAAAAATGAGAAGGGCTGTTACGTTTATAATAAAACTGCGGGATCGTAGAATTGTCGTAATGCTAAATCCGAATATGTCATACAGTTTATACTTTGACGGTTGACAGCTGTCAAAACTTTTGCCAATATCTCTAAAATTAAGAAAACCTTTTTTAAAATGCCACGGTTTTTGACATGCTCATCACGAATTTTATGTCAAATTAAAACCTCGACAGTTGACAACGGTCAAATGGACTGTGAATTTTTCTGAAAGTAAAACAATCTTTTTAAAAATGCCACTGGTTAGGTTTTTAGACATGTTGATCACGAATTAAAACTTTGATATTTGACAGGTGCCAAATAACCTGTTAGTTTTTCTAAAAATAACGAAATATTTTTGAAGATGCTTCTGTTAAGGGTTTTAGACACGCTAATCACGAATTTACGTCAAATTAAAACCTTAAGAGTTTACAACTGTCGTAGGGGCTATCAATTTCTCTAGAAAAGAAAATTTCCCAAGATTAAACGTAACCTAATTTAAGGCTCACTCTTGTCGAGTTCTGTATTATATTCAAACTTTTTTCGTTGACAACTGTCAAATAAATTGCAATTTTCAGTTGAGTAATGCAAAATATATATTTTACGCAAAATTTTATTTATAATATACGAGGGAACATATCTAAAACGAATTTATGACCAAATTATGAAATAATAACAGTAATTATATTTATAAATTAGGAATAGTTGCTATATTTTCAGCCCAAACAATATGATCTAGGCCCCAACAGATTTATTTTTTTATTTTTTAACCGACTTCCAAAAAAGGAGGAAGTTATCAGTTCGTCGGATTTTTTTTTATGTATGATATGAAAAAAGCTATCAACTCATAACTGTTAGAACGTTCCACGATCGAATTCGTTGAATTAAACGAATTCAACGGCTGGCTCAACAGATATTACTGAAAATAATAATCAGTTTTGAGTTCATTGGACATTTCTGAATAAGAATAGCTTTATTCCGGCTAATTTATCACAAAATATGCTTTTTTCGCGTAAAACATACCTTCTCCGACCACTGTGCGTGGATAAAATTTTTAAACATTTTCATGCAGACCTTTAAACTTTAAATTCGTCTATCACCTGAGGTGATATTGAAAAAAAAAAATATAAATCAAATGTTATTATTAACAACTCGATTTTTGGAGAAATTCGCTTCGGTACTTTAACAGTTTTTTCCGGGCGTTGTAGAGCGCACTACTCTCAAGTGTTCCAATAAAATCAGGAAAAGCATCGTCGAGTTCCTCACCCCACTGCACCGCCATCAAGCACCTCTCTGTTATTGTCTTCACAAGTAACTCAGGCGAGAAGTTCTCTCTAGATATGTTGCGGAGTTTGCATCTGGTACTGTCAAATCACATACACTCAAAGAAGACATGGTAGATGCCCTCTATTGCGTCTCCTCCCCAGTAGTGTCATATGGGATTCATTTCGTGTTTCGGTGAAAGTATTCTTTGAAGCAACCTTTCCCAGCTAAAAATTTTTGAACTAGAAATCGATTTCGCCGTTCTTTTTTGCCAGGTGGCGCTTTGCTTTTCACTAAGCGCGCACCAATTGAAACATTCACATTTGTAATCGACGCTTTGCTCGTTAACTCTGATCGCCCCTCCAGTAGATATGTTTTTAGTTTTACAGTGATGTTATGAGATTGAAGTAACTGAAATTCAAAACAACTTCCATACAAAATATATAAAAATATTTGGTGGTACAAATCTACCACTACTTTGTCTCTAAGGATTATGGGTACTCAGACCCCATTTGGCTATTTGGTTGTCGAGATATGTACCACCACTTGAGGAAGAAATTACTGTTTTTTTTTTTAGTGGGGAGTGATGCACCCTATTGTATTTATGTATGTACATACCTTTGTATAAGCAGTAATAGCAAACATGCTGCTAATGTAATCGTTGATTGACAAAGCGGTTTCCGACCCTCTGTCGTGTCATAAACGCCAGCTTCAAAGTCAGCAAGGCAGTCGGTGAGAACTTATGATCCAGCCCTGCACTATGGTGGATACAAAGCAAAGTGTACTGCTCTAAAGTAACATTTGCTTATCACTTGCCTCAAACAATACGTCCCGGCCTGAGCGTGCTGCGCTTGCTTTTGTATTTTTCTTCATTTTGGATTTCCATCTTCTCCTGCTTCGAACTCGTTACGATATACATTTGCTGCGAGCACTCAACTTAAGAATACCAACAGCTTGTCTACATACGTATCAGACTTACTCCCATAAGTGGGTGTGCTTTGTGTAAACTGATATGGCGTCCATATGTAAGCTAGAGTTTGTACGTAGGTACATTTTTAATTTAAAAAAGTTGAGGAGCACTTAAAAAAAATTACAAATCAGCAAATTAAAAAAAGCGAAAGACGGACATTCGACTGTGGAACAAAGCAAAGAAGAAGAGACGGGGAAAAGCTGCAAAAAGAGCACAACGGCGTTGAACTTCAAGTCGGAATCTAAACTTAAACTGATAAGAAGCCGCTAAACGTTAAGTGGCTATTATTTGCTATAGTCCTACACACAAATATACAAGTGCGAGTACATTGTCGTGTGGAGACTGCTGCTGTTGCTGCTTATTTTAGTTTGAAATTAGAATTGGAACGCAGCTCTTGCGTCTGTGACACGCGATACGCGCAGTCTGAGTGGCCTATCAGCTCTCCTCCCTCTACTACTGGGTGCATACAAAAACAAAACAGTATAAAAACTTTACTTATCTAGTAATAGAAGCGCGTATATAAATCGCTTACAACCATCGACAGGAGGCGGCATTAATAGTTCACCTGTAATAAAGTGCAAATAGACAGCGCATAACAGTCATAGCTGCGCGAAATATAGAATCAGGAAGAGCCCCAGCCAGCACTTCATTTGTTCAATGAAAGTGAAAGTGAATTTCGAAAGCATTTCTACCGGTTTAAATTGCAGTCTTTTGAAGGCTTCGCCGCAATGTTCTTAAATATCCTTTTTCTACTGTTGGTGTCATACCGAGCTACAGAGGCGCTGGAAAATGGGCTAGCAAGGACACCACCTATGGGATGGATGCATTGGGAACGCTTCCGCTGCATCACCGATTGTCAAAAATATCCAAATGAGTGTATAAGGTGTGTATATGTGTGTGTGTGTACAATGACAAATGTGCAAAAGTGCTAGATGAGCTCCAAAGCTCTGCGGTAATTGAGATGAAGTGCAATAAAATACGCTCTAGTGGTTATTCACCTTTACGGTATGATAATGCTCGTAATATTTAATTAAAATCGAAAACCAGTTGCATTTGATTCATGCACACTTATGTACTATAAACATTGGAAAATTTGCACATTAAGTCGCGTGTTTAGCTTAATGTGATTTTGCTACTTAAATTTTGTTATTAAGAAAAGTCTATTTTATGTGCAAAGTTTTAATGAAATGAGACCATTGTACTCTTTCCCTCTCGTCTCCTTCGCCTACGAACCGAGCAGACTTGAAAGCAAGACTTGACGTGTCTGAAAGGAGTCCAAGTAAAGAAGTATAAGTTCGGGAGAAACCGAACTTTGTATACCGAGTGCACGTATTAAATAAAAGGAATATAACAGCTATGATCTTTATAATAAAAAACCTTAATTTGACCGTTAAAATTAGATTTATATTTTTTCGATGAAATTGAACCGGTATTTGGAGATTTTTATTTTTTCTATCAAGAATAGCTGTCATTTTGAGATTTTTATTTTCTCGATCTAAAAAGAATCGTTTTTAATTTATTTTTATTTTTGCGATCATACTTATTATGACTGTTATTTTAAGATTTAATTTTTTAGTTTATAAAAGGTTCAAAATGGTCATAAAAACACGGTCCCCATCAAAACGTTTAAAAATTATGGAAGAAACTATTTTTGGTAAAAAAATAATAATTATAATAAAATTCACAAAATAACGATTATCCTTAATCGAAAAAAGTAAGTGCGCCTGGGCCACACTGAGGAAGTGGAACTTACGTTACAGATATATTTTGTCTCATAACCAATATACATACATATGTACATTAGACTAATAATAATAATAGATTGGCGCTTACACATATGTTAGTGTTTGGCCGAGCCTCTCCTCCGACTTGTGGCGTGCGCCTTGTATTCTCACACAAATCGGAGGGGGCCTACAGTAACCAACCATATTGTAATACGTCGCTAACTTAATCAAAGGGATGTGCTGGATAGATATTTTGCCGGATAACCGGATGCCGGATATCCTGTAAAAAATAAGAGCCGGATTCGGATATTCGATCGGATATCCGGTAGCTGCTGCCATTAATAAATTTCACAATATTGTTATATTAGTTTTTTTTTTTGGTTAGCTAGATTATCTGCTTTTTCGAGCTGAACTATCCAATATGTAATTAAGAATACAAAATTTCTCCTCTGAAATCCAAGTTATGATATAATCCTGTATTAAAAAGATAACTTCTCCGTCTGAAACCCGGATTTATCGATTATTTTTGGTAAATAGAGGAGAAACGTCAATGACAAAATATAAACAGCAATGAATACCGCTAAAATAAATTGTCAACAACATATCGTCATGATTCAATTTTTAAAGGTTTTGTAAGTAGCTTTTTTCTAAAATTTGGCACTCCCACCCGCAGGAATGGTTTATGGAAGCAGGAGAAAAAGGGGAAGAATTCAATCACACTTCCTAAAATGGGAGCTAAATTCCATAAAAAGGTGCGGATAATAGTTAATGGTGGTATTTTAAAACAAAAACGAATTTGATTTAATTATTTAATTTAAACATTGTTACCGATTGTTATTAAAAATAAATATTTCTATGTATATACCAAACTTGCGTACGTCAGATGGCGCATAACTCGAGAATGGATGGTCCACTTTCTGCTTTTTTTTTGTTGTATTTATTTGCCAGATGATGGGTATGAAGAAGCTATTTGTTTGTGGAAAATATGTAATGTTTATTAAACAATAAAAACGGCAAATAAAAAAATGTAGAGCTTACGTTTCCTTCGCGGTTATGGCTCGATTGTTTCGAATATGGTAATTCGAATTCTTTGATGTCGCACTTTTAATGTTCTGGGGAGATTATACAACTGTCAGAATATTAACCATTCGCCGGGTTGGACGAACAAAAAATTTGAATGACTAAAAATATCAAAATATAAAAAAATATAAAAATATTCGCCATAAAAAGGCGTTTGCATTGTTCAACTTTGCATTCTACTTTCAACTAATCGCTTTCAACAAAGTTGGTCGCCAGCCAACATTCGCCTCGTGCGTACACCTTTTAAGTGTGCAATTACATACATCGCGCCATTGACTAAACCGAGCTGTCGCGTGACGATTGGGCCTATGGATGCGGTTTGGCAATGTTATATTGCGTCAAAGTCTCATTCGGAGACACCAGGATTGTGTTGTGGAGGACAATACCTAAAAACCTTCGTTGGCTCATTTACCAAAACCATCGAACGCTTTACTTTACAGCGACTTGGCAGAATCAAGAGATCTCCACGAATATCGACAAATACATTTCGGCATTTAAGGGAATTTTGTCTCTTTAGCCTACATTGCATTTCTGTAGTCCAACGATTCTCACCAATTTTTTCTTGTTGGCGCCAGCGAATGAAGAACAAAAATTTCTTCAAAATTAAAAAGTAAAAATTTCACTACTAACAATTTAAAAATGTTCGTAAAACTTGCAAAGAAATTTGGAAAAGAAATATCACTGTTTTTGTTTTTAGGAGTAGGGTGGGAGTGTCATTGATAAAATTAGGGAGAGAGAAAGTTTTTCTTACAAAACCTTTCGTTATTGAATCATGCATATCGTTTCGCTTCCCGAATCTCCCCGTAAGGCTTCATTGTTGCAATATTTTGTGACACACGTTTTCTTTTCTGACATCAATAAATCTAAAAACTGGGTAGATGGTGAACTATATAATTCGAAAATATAATAATAATATATAATAGCAAACCCCCGAGGGTATGTATTTCTGCCATGAAAACAGCTTTTCATAAAAATACAATCGCCGTTCGGCGCCGGCGTAAAACTGCAGGTCGCTCCCCTTGTGTGACAACATTAATTCGCACGCCGCAATTCGGAGGAGAAGCTCGGCCAAACACTAAAAAATGTGTAACCCCCCTACTACTATTTTTATAGTCGCAAAGAATTTCCAAATTTGTTTACACTGGCAATGAAGTATCTCTGCGAATCATCTTCCCCAGTGACCTCAAAAAGGTTGTTCAATGCATCGGGTGGCATTTATGTTAAAAGTAGAAATGGGTTCTTGACCGGTAATGCGGAAATGCTTCTTTTCATAATGAAAAATATATAAATTTTAATTGCTAATTAGATACTATTTAATTTTACTATAGAAAAAAAATCTGAACTAGATTTTTAAATAGAATTTTCTATAATCGAAATCCGGCCGGATTTTAGCCAGTATCCGGCCAGATAGTCGGATAACAGAAAAGACCGGATACTCGGATAACAGAAAAAGGCCGGATAAGCCGGATTTCAGATATCTACCGGATATCCGGCACATCCCTACTTATTAATAAAATTGATTTTAAATCTTTAAAGGTGGCAACACTCTTAAAAATGTGTTCATACTTAAAACTTTTTAAATTTGGTTCGCGCGGCCTCCATATTGTAAAATTTCGTTGAACTTATAATTTAAAATAGAATCTTCTAACAAAAATATGCTATATGTGAAATGGTTGCGAGCATCGCAAGTAGAATCAGGTTAAACTCTGTCTGTTGCTTCTATACAACTTAAAATGTCAAAATCGTACAGTCAATATGAAATTTTCTGAACTTAAATTGGAAATTTCTGAATTTAAAATGAAAATTTTCTGAATATGAATTATAACTTTCTGAATTTGAAATGGAAATTCTGAATTTGAAATCTAACTTTTTGAATTTGAGTTGCAACTTTCTGAATTTGAATTCAACTTTCTGAATTTAAAATGGAAATTCTTCATTTGAATTGTAGTTTTCTGAATTGCAACTGCAAATTCTGAATTTGAATTGTAGCTTTCTGAATTTGAAGTGAAAATTCTGAATTTTAAATGGAAATTCTGAATTTGAAATTGAAATTTTTTAAATTTGAGTTGCAACTTTCTAAATTTTAAATGGAAATTCTAAATTTGAATTCAACTTTGTGAATTTAAAATGGAAATTCTGAATTTGAATTCAACTTTCTGAATTTAAAATGGAAATTCTTAATTTGAATTGCAACTTTCTGAATTTGAAGTGAGAATTCTGAATTTGAAATGGGAATTCTGAACTTGAGTTGTAATGGAATTTCTGAACATGAATTGCAACTCTCTGAACTAAAACTGAAAAAGGTGCAGAACAATGTTTGAAGTCGATTTATAAAAAAAAAATTATAGTGAATTTTTGATCAAAAAGTAGAAACTTTAACCGCCTATAAAAGTAATTGTGTTGCACTATATTATTTCATAGTCTCTTTTTTTATTTTTTAAGTGAAAATCTCTTCAAACGCACCACTGACTTGCTGGTCTCGGAAGGATATGCTGCTGCCGGTTACGAATATGTCATTATTGACGATTGTTGGCTGGAAAAATATCGCGATAATGCAACAAATAAACTAGTAGCTGATAGATATCGCTTCCCCAGTGGTCTCAATCACTTGGCTGACTATGTAAAAATGCAGATATGCTTCGCAGACAAACTATATTTATTAATCTGATTTTCCGCACTTACAGATACATAATGCTGGCTTGAAATTCGGTTTATATCAGGATTATGGCACTCACACCTGCGCCGGTTATCCGGGTGTCATCAATCACATGGCACTGGATGCGCAAACCTTTGCCGAGTGGGATGTAGACTATGTAAAGTTGGATGGTTGCTATGCAGACACGTCAACAATGGATGCTGGTTATCCGGAATTTGGACGACTACTAAACGAAACTGGACGCCCAATGGTATACTCGTGCAGTTGGCCGGTCTATCAGGAATATGAGGGCAAAATTGTAAGTCAAGATTTGTATATTAGCGCATTAGGCTGCATCACTATAAATAAAAAAAAAA